TAATTATAAATAATCAAGATATGTCAACATGTTATTATATTGAATAGGTGTTTTGGGGGTACCGCAAATTGCTGCAAAATGCACAAACAAAGCGCAGGAGTACTTTTGACAACCAAGGAATGCAATATGTAATGACAAGAAGGATTCATAAACAATGCAATAATTTAAGTAATAAGTCGTACAAAAAGTCTCCACAGGTCTACTATTTTTGGAGACAAATATTTATTTTGCCATGTCCTCAAACATTGAGAAAGTTGCATTCAGAGATACAAGTGTATAGCGGTATTTATGAGTGTCTATTTAAAACATTAGGTTCAGCTATTTCTTTTAAAAAGTATTAGTAGCAGATACTGTGTTTTGATGTTTGATGAAATACCATTATCTTCGGAATTGTTATATGATTGGATTGAATCTCATATTGTTGAAGTTGCAAAACAGTTATTCAGCTAGTATGGTTTAAATGTTCATCAACGTAAGTTCATTGTTACATTTAATAAGATTATCTATTACATTAGCATATGTAAACACTTATAAAGTAAACTAGTATTGGTTTAAATGTTCATCAACGTAAGTTCATTGATATATTAAATAAGATTATCTATTACATTAGCAAATGTAAACACTTATAAAGAGAGTCTATACCATACATAATATTTTAATGTATTTTGATTGAAGATTAGTGTTATAATATTCTTCAAATAAAACTTGTGTAACATCCCAATATAATGTTTAAATTCAAGATATATTTGTTACCGACCTTGGGAATCAAAAATATTGCTTTTATCTTTTGATTCATAAGCAATTGTATGTGCATAAAACATTATTCTGTTCATTGTAAACACTTTGTTGATCTTTTATGGCAATTTCAATGATAATGTTTTCATGATGGAACATGGCTAAATGTAATGTTATAAAACACTCGTACAGAAACTATTCAAAGGTTTTGTTAAGATAGCGCAATAACTATTACATGCAAAATTAATAAAGAACAATGTCTCGTAAATGAGTTTTAATCCTAGGAATTTGAATTTCTCTCAATTTTGATATCAATATATATATTTTATGTTTTTAGGACTTTTTTGTTTGTGAAGTATTTGTACTTTTTAACAAATTATTTGTTTTTTTCTTAACCCTTAAAATTTTTGTATTATTTGTCATTCCTTCTAAATTTGTAATTTCATTGCGTGCTCCTGCGCTTGTAGATTCTTCTTAGTTTTTAAGATTTTAATATATTAATATTAGTCATTAAGTAATTAATATTAGTCGGTTATTTGTGCTTAGTTTAGTTAAATACTTCTGTGATTTTCTTCACTTAGATATTTAGTTTTTGAAATATTATTTAAGCATAATTGTGAAATTATAATACTTTTATAATTATGTATAATATTAGGTGGACCGGAAAGTAATGTCGTTTCTGCGCATGCCAATACTTGATTGTCATTTGTCAGCTCATTGTTTGGTTCAGAGGCATACCAAAAACATTGTGAGGTTAAGTGATTTCTTTAGTTATAGACAATTGAATTACAATTTTTTTTTTATAATTTTGTGTAAAATGGCCAGCCAAAAACCAGAAGAGGTACACATCCGGCATTGCATGCTCTTTGAGTTTCGCAAGGGTAATAACGCAACAGTTGCTACCAAAAACATATGCGATGTTTATCCAAATGCACTGGACATTCGTAAATGCCAAAGGTGGTTTTCCAAGTTCAAATCGGGTAATTTTGATCTTTCCGACTCGTATCGATCAGGAAGACCATCAGCGTTAGACAACGACGTGTTAAGGGCGGAAGTGGAAGCAAATCCGTGTCAGACGATCGAGGAATTGTCAAACAGTCTCAACCAACCTTGGTCGACCATCCAAGAACATTTGAAGCAGATTGGGAAAGTAAGCAGAGCAGGTGTTTGGGTCCCGCATAATCTGTCCGAACAGAATAAGGCTAACCGATCAATCACATGCAACTTATTGCTTCAACGACACAACACAGAAGCGTTTTTTAATCGCTTGATCACAGGAGATGTGAAATGGGTCCTGTATGATAACCCAAAACGCAAAAGGCAGTGGCTCTCTCCGAAAGAAAACCCTCGAAGTACTGCTAAGCCAGGTTTACACCCCAAAAAAGCGCTTTTGTGTGTTTGGTGGAGTATTCGCGGCATTGTTCATTTTGAATTACTGAAACCTGGACAAACTGTTATTGCAGACCTCTACAGAGAACAATTGCAGCGAGTAAATCAATCTTTAATTGAAAAGTGGGCAGCAATTGTCAACCGAAAAGGCGTCATTCTCCAACATGACAATGCAAGACCGCACTGCGCAAAGCGAACTCTAGAAAAAATTAATGAATTGGGGTGGGAGGTGCTGCCTCATCCACCATATTCGCCCGATGTTGCACCATCGGATTTCCACTTATTCCGAGCGCTGCAACACTTTTTAAGTGGCAAAACATTTGCAAATTTGGATGATATCCAAAATGCCATCTCTAGATATTTTGCCGAAAAACCAATTAATTTTTATCGATCAGGGATTGAAAATTTACTCACTAGATGGCAAAAGGTTATTGACAATGATGGGGAATACATCATTGATTAAAAATAAAGACTCGTTAAAAATGTATGTGTTTGAATTTAGCGTAAGAAACGACATTACTTTCCGGTCCCCCTAATACTTCATTCAAATATTTTCAACTTGGCAATTCAATTTATATAATTCTTATAAATATTCGACAATGTTTACAGTATTTATTTATAATAATCTATTTGAAAACATTTAATATTCCTCGAACATTTGGTTACGGTACGGGAAGTTCCAGCAATTTGGATTCACATTCATTTCGCACATCCATTTTTTCTAAGGTATGCAAAATGTTCAGAAACATTCAAAACGTAAATACTCGTAAATGCAAAATTTTCAATTTCGACTTTTGGACGATTACAATAACTTACCCTACGGGAAGTTAAAAATGACTAAATTTGAAACTTGAATAATATTGTGATTCAATCAATCAATATTTTGTTAATGCTCTGTTAAAGACATTATGATGAGGTGTTTATTATTGGAATTCAAAGGTTTTGAAGTTTTCCACAGAACATTGAAAATATCTGTTTTTATGATAAATAACATACGCTTCATTTGTCTTACTATATTGTATCATATCAGAAACAACTAGTGGGGTGCATGGCATCGTGCCTTAAGGCAAATTGCTGGAACTTCCAGTAACATTTTTTTTTTAAGATTAACATTTTTGAAAAAATTTACTTTGAAAAAATTAGATAGTTGCGAAACTATAAATTTTTGAAAAAAAAATTACTTTTTTGGAAAAAAAACTTTTGGAAAAAATGTATTTTTTAGTTTGAAATTTTGAAACTTTTTTTCAATTTCACATTGCTTTAACTGCATAGAGACGCGATATTGAAGCGCGTAAACGCCGCGTCGTCGTCTAACGGATAAAATTGGTACGGAACCCATAGGATTGTAAACAAAATTTATACTTATTGTTAGAATCTTCATAAAAATCTGATAATTTTATGTGCATATGTCTAATGATCATTTTTGACCGCCAAATGGCATTTTTTTTTACTTTTTTTACTAGATCTTCGAAACCGCTAGACTTGCCTTCATGAAAATTTAATCAGTTGTTTATCTTGTCAAAACAAGTAAAATGTTTTATGTTTAAAATCGGACACTTCGTTCTCTTAAAAATTGAGTTACCGTTTTTGGCACTTTTTACCCCGTATCTTCGAAACGGCTAGACCTTCCTATGCCAAAAACTAATCAGCACGTCTCCTTATCAACAGCAATCGAATGTTTTTTGAATAATTGAAATCGGTCGAACCGTGTTCTCGAAATCGTCGACGAAAATTTGTATTCACACACACACATACATCCATTTTTTCTAAGGTATGCCAAAATGTTCAGAAACCTCTGAAACGTAAAGATATATATATATATATATATATATATATAAATTTTTATTTTCGATTTTTTTGTGATTACTATAACTTACCCTACGGGAAGTTAGAAATCATTTTATATGAAAAATTATGAGTAATAATGCAATATATGTATTTTTAAAAGTTTCTACTCTTTGTCTTATATTTTTTGTAACCATATTATAATCTAGTGGAGTGGGTGGCATCGTGCCTTAAGGCAAATTGCTGGAACTTCCCGTACCGTAACGAAATGTTCGAGGAATACTGAATGTTTCAATAGATTATTATAAATATTGTAATATTGTCTAATATTTATAAGAATTATATAAACTGAATTGCAAAGTTGAAATATTTGTTTAGAGTATATTAGAACTATAGTCAGAATTAAAAATAAAATCTGAATTATTTTCGATATACAAAAGTTGAAACAATTTTTTTTTTCAAATTAATTGTTTTGTTAAGACAAGCAGAAAGTTCTTTGAATCATTTAAATCGGACGCTTAGTTCTCTCAAAAACTGCCATTTTTTGTACATTTAGCTCCGTATCTTCGAAATGGCTCGGCCTGCCTTTGCGAAAAACTAATAACCACTTCTCCCAATCATTACTAATTGAATGTTTTTCAGATCATTCAAATCGGATGCTTCGTTCTCTCAAAACTCGATTTCTATGCTCTGAACTCTTTGCTCTTTATCTCCGTAACTGCTGGACCTGCCTTTGCCAAAAACTAATCAGCACATCTCCTTATCAATAGGAATCGAATGTTTTTTGAACATTCAAATGGGTTGATCCGTACGCCTGAAAACGTGGGCGAAAAATTGTATCCATACATACATACACACACATCCATTTTTTTGAAGTATGCCAAATGTTCAGAAACCTTCAAAACGTCGAGAAATGTAAAATTTTCCATTCCGATTTTCGGCCCATTACAATAACTCACCCTACGGGAAGTTAACAAATAGTCATGTTAGCAAAAAATGAGTTATAATGCGATATGTTTTTAAATTTTAGTATCCCATATTATTCAAAGGCCAGACATCAATAGACGAACAAAAATTGGAAAATTTGCAAGATGCGTTGGAATTTGGAAGCAATGCTAGAGGATAAAGAATGGGTTGCTGGTCCTACAATAACTATAGCCGACATTGCATTAGTAACCACAGTATCAAATATTGAGGTATATATAGAATATAAAAACGGAAATATTATTTTCTATTTATAAATATATTGAATTATACACATTTCTGAACATAACAGAATATTAATAATCAGAAAATTAAATTATTAATATAATGAAAATTTTTCATAGTCATGTGGGACTGACGTATCAATTTATCCACAATTATCAGCATGGTATGAGCGAACTAAGGCGGCTCTGGAACCATACGGTTATGAAGAAATCAATCAATCCGGGGCAGATCAATTTGGTGAATGGTTAAAAAGCAAATTGGATTCGCAGTAATTTACACAATATGAATAATAATTTTGATGCAAATTAACATGTACTTAATGTAGTTGCACTTTAACTTAAATACAATTATTAGAAAACATATTCAAATTTAAACTGGCAGATCATTATGTAATAGATGTGAGAGTAGATAAAAAACTATTGCGCGAAAGATGCAAACAATTTTTAAGTTTTTTATTTGTATTGTGATGAAAGTGCATGAATTTTATTTTGAGTATGCCGTCTTTTTGATAGTCATAAAAAATATCGGCGTGAAAAAGGTCGATTAATTTGTATGCGTTACCGACAAGTAAATAGGTTAGCAGATGAAATATATATTGATAAGCCAAGTATATATTTTTTATAAATTCAGTTTAATCAAATTATATTTAACTAGATGACCCGACAGACGTTGTCCTGTGCTCATGTCTACAATTTTTTAATATAATATACTAAGATTTACCGCTTAAATTACTCTTTACGCCAAAATGCATATACTTTTATAATATTAGCGATGTTAATTGTAGAACTGCTTTAAATAAAATGATGAGTCTCAATTCTCACACTATATTGAAAAAAAAAACTATATTGAAAATTCAATATCCGAATCTTTTGTTGGCGCCCCCTAAGGCATGCGCCCATATTTTTCTCATGCATCGCATTAAATGTAGGATCGGCTCTGATTAATACTTAATTTTATATTTTAAGTTAATTAATTTGTCATATCCTGTTCATGTGTATATTATTCAATCTGCCATATACTCTATTTTATATTAAAGGATACATTAGCACTGTGAATAAAATGTTTAATTATAATATTGATTCGAAATGGGGGCCCTGCAAGAGATAATTATGACTATTCAAGGTACACCTAAACACTTCCCCACATACCCATTATTTGGCTCTTAATTAATATTTCACGATATATTGTTTATATCAGATTGATCTACAGATTTAATTAAACGATTTGATGCACAATTTAATTAAAACTAATCAAAGATGTAATTGACAAATTGATGTAATTAAAAACGCTTAATGAACGCGAGCATATTCACAAAAATGTCGTGACATTTGAAAAGATTAAAGTTAACAAAATGACCGCTGCCGCATTTTGCACATTTTAAAGCGCGAAATTCAAACAGAAAAGTTAATCTTTGAGAAAATATTTGTATTCAAAAGTGTTGTTATATAAAGTATATTGTACCAAAGTGATTAAAATAGCTTGAAAATTTAAAATTCTTCAATTAAATTGCTTTATAAGATTATTTTAGCTTAGTAATAAATATTTGATTTGAATATTATACTTAAAACAAGCTGAAAATAATATAAATTATATACCATAAAATTTATAATTACTATTACAAATAACTATTATATAATAATAATTTATACAGTTATCAAAGACTCAGATAATTTTATAATATAATTTTAATTTATATATTTATCTTTAAACTATAAAAAAATATGGATTTTAAGAACAAAAGTATGAATCTTAAGTATAAATTAAAATAATGACAAAGTAAGTAAATAATTACTTACTAACATACTAACAAAAATAAGTAAGATTTTGTAACTATATTATAATATTATACATGCACATTTGTTTTTTTAACTATCTCTATAATCAATTGATTATAGAAGTTTATTAAACACACATACATTCTAAATTTAAATTTTAGAAATAAGTAAGGTACGATTAGATAAGGCACGATTTGTATGTATATACAAATTTAATTGCCAGTACATAATTATTATTAACTAAATTAATAAATATTAATTTGATTACTCCGACAATTTTGGGGAAATTTTTTTTTAGGTCGAAAGCTCGCGGCTTGCTCCGAGGCTTGCTCTATATAAAAATTATCTATCACATATCCAAAGACTATATATATATATATATATATATATATATATATATATATACACACTTAGCCTTTTACCGTATATATTCAAATAGGTAAAATACAGTGTTTTAAATTTTTATTTGAATTTCGCGCTTTAAATTGTACAAGTGGCCACAGACATTTTGACACATGTTGCTAAGTTCAGTCGCCTCAATTGTCAAAGAAATTTTCGTTAATTAACATGTGCTAGCGTTAATTAAGACTTTTTAATTAAATCTTTGATTAGTTTTAATTAATTTATGCATCAAAACGTGTAATTAATTTAGTAGATCAATTTGATATAATAAATTTATCGTGTAACGTTAATTAAAAGCCAAAAAATGGGTATGTTTGGAAGTATCTAGGTGTACCTTCAATAGTTTGATAAGTGTTTCTTTCAGGATCTCAATTTTGAAACAATTTTAAAATTAAACAATTTATTTACAGCAACAATGTATCCTTTAATTATATACATGCAATTATCAATAGTACAATTTATATATGTGCCTTTGTAGGTTATACTTATACTCCACCACATATCTGTTAAAATACAATTTTAAATTTACAAGAGTCTCTAATGTAAGTCGTGTGTCCTGTGTTGTGTAAAGACTTTACTAGAACAATTGCAACATGTCGAATAGACCTGTAAAAGACAAAGTTATATAGTGGTACTAAAGTAGCGATTTTGTGTCGAGTGCTTGAGATTTCTGGAAGGACATTCTGCGAGTGCATCCGACGATCGCCCATCAGATTCCGAGTCAAGATCAAGGGGGATGCTTTGACCTCAGTATATGGTACGCAATGGCGTGGTCAAGGACAGGGGATTATATATGTATAAATGAAATAATTGAATATAATTAATCTAAATAATTTCTTAGTTTTAACATTATATTTGAATTTGAATAATACAAATTTGTTATTATTATTGCGAATTTAAATAATCATATACATTTTTGCACGTAAGAGAGGGATGTTAGAAATTTGTTGTATATTTTATTTAATTAGTAATTAATATTTTTATTTCATTTGTATAATTTCAATGAAATAAATTTATGTGCGTATTAAAATTAGCAAATGTTGTTTTATTAATTTATTTTATATATATATATATATATATATATATATATATATATATATATATATATATACATATGTAATTGATAATAGAAATGGAAAGAAAACTAAACTTAACTGCTGTACGTTGATACTAAAAACTATGTTACCAGTCTATATAAATATATGTTCTGTGCTCTATGTTTAATTTCTGTTGTAAATATTTTAAAATAAATCAACAGTCTGTGTCTGTGCTGTCTGGGACTTGGTTGAACAAGTTACTCTATCATAATAATAATTATCCATGTCGCAAATGTAAATAGATTTAAAGTTAAAGTGTACTGTTTTGTAATCAGGTAAGTACTAAATAATGTTTTATATTTTAATTTTAAGGCAAAGTAGTTAATGTTTGTGAATTCATGAATATTTTGACAAAACTGTTGGGCATAAATCTAAACAAATATTTGTTAAATATATTTTCAACACATTATGATATATATTATAATCAATTATATCGATTTAAGTCCAAAACAATTTTTAATACATGAATTTGTTACTTTAAACGTCAAAACTGAATTATATTGTAAAAATGTCAAACGCCAAACGTCAAAATTTTGTTGACAGTTGTTTTGAGGTTAAAAATGTCTGTTGTGACAGGTTTATTTTCAAATGTGTTTTAAAAATGTTAATGAATTAAAGAAATGTCTAATAATTAAGTGAATAGCTCAGGTTTAGTTAAATTTTTCTTACTTTTTTAAAACTATTCAAAATAAGAAATATTTCAAAAGAGGAAAATACTTTTTTCATTGCTCAAACAAAAAGTGTGCTATTTATACAAGGAAATTCAAAGTTTTTGAATGTTTTCTTTGAAAACAAATATTAGTGTATTAATTTTTATAACAATAATAGTTAATATAAGTACAGTTGTTATTAATAAATCAATATCTACATCACAAATGAGTCAAAAAATATATATGCTCTTTGTAAGTAATGTTTTTTCTTTTGAATCATAAGTGCCATTTCTAACTAATTCAATTATATAATGTAATTGATAAAATACAAATCATTTGTTTGTTCAATGTTAATGAAATATTTAGGAAGTTTGCACAAAATTAAAGTATCTATATTTTGTTAACATTTGATACTCTACAGTAACTCGATATACATTAAAATGTCAGTCAAAAGAAGAACAATGATTTTAGCAAGCTTTTTATTAAATACATTTTACTAAATTTGAAATACTTTTGCATATTTTGATTAATTTTTAGTAATTAGCAATATGCGACATTTACATTTATAATTTTTACAGTTTGCAAATAACTTAGAAATTTTGTACCGGACACATTCATTTGTTTATTTTAGTATAAACTTTGTAAAATTTACTAGAATTTAATATAAATTGTTTTATACACTTGGATATCAACATTTTGAATAATTTGTAGTTGAAATGCGAATAAGTATCAATATGTGAGGTCTTATCAAATAACTTGGAAATTTTGTTCTAGTCGAAACGCTGACCTTAATATTTTTCTAATTTTCAATATTTAGTTGTAGGAATTTTTTTCACATTTTGTCAAATATTTTGAAAATTTTATTCGGGACACTTTTATTTGTTTATTTTAGTATAAACTAGAGAATTTTAAATACGTGTTCTTAAATTTATTTACATTAGTAAAACCTAGATAAAATTTACTAAAATTGAGTTTAATAATTAGCTATAATTGATTTTGGATGTTTTTTTTTATATTTTGCCAAATAACTTTAAAATGTTTTTTCAGGCATATTAGTAAAAAATATATAAAATTTAGATTTATAAATTATAAACTATATTAAAACCATAGACTGCTATTCACGCTTTTGTTTAAACTACTATTTATGGACTCAATATAGAAAAATGATATCAAATTATTAGATTAATATAAATGATTTATTATTCGGCTGTACTTATACATATTTAATGTTACTAGCCTAGTATTAAGTAACATATAATACTATTTATGATGTATATTCTCAGAATAAATTTTATTCTTATTACAGGTGCTTATGACTTATAAGAATGCCTTAAAACGAACTTTACAA